TATTATTTTTAATCATCTGACATTCAAAGTTACTTAATAAGACTCGAAAGTGTTTGAATTAATTGGTTTTGTGTGTTATTTATCATGCATATATATTTGGTCAACCATTTCCCTTGCTACTGACTATTCTCTTGGTTTGTTCATAGTTACTATATATTGTCCAAAAAAATACAATGGTTTTGTTTTTGTATCTCRATGATTTTTACCCAGGGATCTACTTCCTCCACACATTCAATTAAAACTGATTAAAACATCATAGTCAAAACAACARAAAAAGTTCAAAACTAATGATGCTGTTACATCCACATGGAGCTTTTTGGTTTGCGGAAATTTTATTTTTCAGAGCTTTTCACAATAATTTTATTGATTAATTAAATTGAATGATAGGAAAAGGAAGTTATTATTGGCATCAAACGAAAAGCTGATGGAATTGGAGGTGGAGGGAAAAAAGGCAGAAAGCCTGGTCCAAAACCAGTCCTACCAACAGGTAATTTTCCTAATGTARCAACCATGTGTATTCAATAATTTGTGAATTATTAATGATGTTGACTCAGTCTTTGTGATTTTACTTGTCCAATTTGGCATCTTGGGCAAAAGAAATTATGCCATAGATAAAACATATGTAATTTTGTTAGTTTTGATTTTTTTTTAATGGGATTTCAAAGTTTATTTATTAAGTCTTTTGTAGGTTTTTGTCTGTGCTGTGTYGATTTTAATATATAACTTATCTATCAAATGAATATAGAAAATAGTACACATTGTGATGTTTCCCATTATTTAATTAGCACTATTTTTTACACTTAAMATAAAAGTCTTGTAGACATTTTGTTCATTTTTAAACCACCTCGGAAATTTGTTTTCTATTACTTTTTTTTWAATATCTAAATTAGTATTATTAGTATTCAACAAAATGATTTAAAAATAAAAACTCCTTGTTAGTGTGAAGTCTATCGGAGAGTCTACTATTTCAAAACCAAAAGGAGAAACACACTTTCTTCTTTGTRATGAAGCTAATATTTTGAAGATTGAAAATCTCTAAGGTGCATTGTAGAAGGGATAAAATGTTTATTGGGTTGAAAAAGTTTAATTGATTTATAGCCATACCAGATTTTTAGCTGTCAATCAAGACTTTTAACTCCATTGTTTTGCAAACTGACAGATGRTAGGCATGTACTTTAAATAAGACACATTTAACAGATTCATATAAACTCTTTTCTTTTACACTTAAAACAAGGAATAATGAACTCTTCTTTTGAAGCCGTAGTTCCAGATAGCACGCCCTTAATTGGTCTACCTCCAGCAGCTGTCATGTCAACGTTACCACCCTCRTCAGTCACAGCAACCACAGCTCTYCCAACACCTGTAGAAGTAACTACAACTGCACTACCTACACCATCAGTTACACAAGCTCCAACAATGTCAGGACCCCCTACGATAAATATAGCAGCCAAGGTATTATATTATACATATTGACAGATGTCAATCAGATCAGATGATAAATGTTAAGCCTTATTTGGTGATGTGAAGATGATAAACAAAACATGAAATCTGGATTGTGAATGTCTTGGTCATTATCAAGCAATTAATCAGCCTATCCTTTGTCATTCCGGGAACAACATCTAATTGCTACTATTCTTGGGAAGATAAAACTTGTACAAATATTGAAGAGAGTCTTCTGTTGAAAGAATCTTTCCTTAGTCTAATTTGTCCTTAAGAGGGTAGTGTTTGTAAGTCAGATGCGAAGTTTCCAAAGTTTGGCAATACACAAAAACTGCCTCAACGTTGGCTGTTTTAGCATACAACAGTTCTTGAAATAGATTATGATGTAAAAACTCTTGGAGCAAGAAGGGAACCAGCTTAAAAACTCATACAAATAATAACCAATAAAAAATTACCATTTGAATAGTACTTGTTTTTTGCCAGATATTTTGTCAACTTAGTCACTGCCAGATATCTTTTCAACTTAGTCATTGGCTGTTATATTTTTGATGGTGACACTTTTCCTGGAATTAGCCCTCATTTTGCTGTCAATCATTTGTTGTAGGCTAAAAAAGGCATAAAAAGAAAGGCTGATACCACAACACCAACAACGCCTATTGGGGATCTAGTGGACTCTGGATTATCTGCACCYAAAGCTGCTAAGGTACCCGCAAGAAGGGAATCAACTCGAACAGTCAAGAAACCCAATCGAGACCTACCTGAAGTACCTAGCCTGGTAAGGCAAAGTACCTCTACACTAATTGACTGTGCTCTAAATAAGATGGACTGGACACCAGATTTAATGCAATTAAGAAAGTAGCTTTATAATGAGAAAGAAAACAATAGAAAATATTGCCGCAACAGTCGATAAAAGCAGACTTTTATTGCTTGTTTTGTTGAATTACTAATGATCTCCTTTTGAAAAGTACTTGCTTATTGTGATAATGTAATGCAAAGGTTCTGTGTTAATAGTGGGGCTTTAAATACTGATGTTGTGGCCGTCTAGTTAACATTTCAGTATTTAATGGCCAAGTAGGTGCATTAAAACATATCCATATAATTGTAAAGGAATGTACAGTGCCAAGAGACAAATATCCATCTAMAGCTGTTGGCATTTTGTTTGGAATCTATAGCAACATAGACATCTCTGAATGAAGTATTAATATTCGATTATTTGTAATTTTACTGTTCTCTTTCTCATTATTAAGTATTTCTCAATTTCATTACATCTATCATCTGATRCCAGACCCTTTTTGGGGTAGTTACCAGTCCTCTTATTTAGAACACAGCCAATATTGCACACCAATATATCGCAGTGGTTTTCTATGACTGTAGTAAGTGGAATTCACCTCCTGTGCACAACTTCTGGATTATTAAATAATACTATTGCACCAAGAACTGAGTATACTCGAATACTTGTTGACGGGTACTATTGTCTTTATAGTCACGAGGTAAAAGAAAACCGCTATCAGAACAGCTAAAGTATTGTAATACAATCCTAAAGGATATGTTCTCTAAGAAACACTATGTAAGTATCTGGTAGAAGTCTTTCTAAGCTGTATTAGATTAAGGTTTATTTTTTAATTGTGAATTAGACATGACTATTTCCCTGAAAGGTGTTTGTAAGTGTTTCCTAACATGTTTGTATGGTTTTCTTAGTCATATGCGTGGCCTTTCTACAAACCAGTGGATGCAGATGCTCTTGGCTTACATGATTATCATGATATTATCAAACAGCCCATCTCAATGGCTGACATGAAGGTATAAAACAATCCCACATTCCTTGTTCTAGCTTAGTTACTTTTAAGATCATAAAAAGATAGCCCTTGAAAAWTTTTTTTGGGACTTGAAACATCTTGTAACTGAAATTTTTAGCTGAAAATGCAGCATAAATGTTTTCCTAGCTAATATGATAATAGTAAATATTGATGTTTGTTTTCATTGATTGTTTTTTAGGATAAAATGGACAATAGGTTATATGAAACTCCTTCAGAGTTTGCTGCAGATGTTCGCTTGATGTTTAGTAATTGTTATCGATATAATCCTCCTGATCATGACGTTGTCAAGATGGCAAGACAGTTACAGGTATTGATTTACAATGTACATCTTATTCTACCTTATTTGAAAAGGAAYAACTGGCATAATAATTGTGAAGTGTTCGGAGTTACGGTGTAGTGCCCAAATGATTTGATAGGCGTATCTATCATCATTTTCATGATTAATTGTTCAAAGTTGATGATTTATGCTTGTTATTTTAGGATGTATTTGAAATGAAGTATGCCAAAATGCCAGAAGAACCAGAACAACCACAGCCAAGTCCTCCAATACAACAGCCAACAGTCGAAGAGCCCATGCACCAGGAAACTTCTGAGGAGTCTTCTTCTGAATCGAATGACAGCGAAGCTGAAAGAGCAAATAAACTATCACAGCTTCAGCAACAGGTATCWTGCCTAAGTAATATTTTTTGTACTKTTTCTGAAATTGTTTARATAATATGATTCTGTTTCTCTTTGTAGCTTATATCTGTCCATGAACAACTTAGCAAGCTAACTGGTGAAAAGGTCAGCTTGGTTCCCAAAAAAGCCAAAAAAGAAAGCTCAAAAAAGAAAAAGGAACACACRAAATCCAAGCCAGCACACAAACAGAAGAAACAAGAAGCAGCAGTGAAGACTACATCAACAACTGCAAAAGCTGACAAGKCTGCAAAGAAACAGTCTGCATCAAAACGATCCGCTAAAAGCAAGTGAGTACACACTTGGAACAACTTTTTCAGGGCCTGGAAATAAAGGAGGGTCAAAGGGCAATGTCCTTCCACATTTGCTAAATGACCTTCCAATTCAGATTTTGAGTGGGCAAATTGACCAGTCACATTAAGATTAATGATGACATTTCAAAAAAGTACTTGGAATGACATTATGTCCTGCTTATGCCAATACGTTATTTCAAGCCTTGCTTTTTACAGCGAGTTTTATCATCAATGTTAAACCCAAATGCTTATTTTCGTAGATTGGCTGCAAAAAAGAAAACATATGAAGTTGATAGCGATGAAGAGGATATAGCCAAGGAAATGACTTAYGATAGAAAGCGAGACCTTAGCCTGAACATCAACAAGCTTCCAGGTTAGTGTTGTGAATAAGTATGTTTCAGCTAGAGTCCATTTATGTTGAGTAAGTTCATCCTTTGTTTCATATTATCTTAGTAATCTTAGTATCTACAGCTAATAGAATAAGAGATTTATATAATAAAAAGTGTTTATTAAGTTTATGTAGGTGTAGGTATAAGGTGCAGTTGTTATGTAGGTGTAGGTGTAAGGTGTAGTTGTTTTTTTGCTATTATGTTTTATTTTACTACCATTTTTTATATAATTAACGTGTTGCATTTCAGGAGGCAAGCTCGGCAAAGTTGTGCATATTATACAGTCTAGGGAACCAGGCCTTCGAGATTCGAATCCGGATGAAATAGAAATAGACTTTGAGACTCTAAAACCCTCGACATTGAGGGAACTGGAAAAATATGTGCAGTCATGCTTGAGGGAAAAGTCCAAGGCCCCTTCTAAAAAGCCTAAAAATGCTGAGGAACGGGAGCAAGAGCAAGCGCGAAAAAAAGAGGAATTAGAAAGACGACTACAGGTAAAAGATAGTGGTTCAAGTTTGGAATTAAGTTCCTACTGACACTCGCAGATTCTCACCAGGCTGATGAAGCATCATGACGATMAATCTTACATGCTCTGTTCTTGTCRTTAGGATGTAAGTGGGAAGATTGGAGGGTCAACTCAGAAGAAACAACAAAAGAAAGGTGAGAAAATAACTTTGTGTCATTTCTTAGCACTTACACCACAGGATAAATTAATCTTTGCATTCAAAATAAGTCTGCAATACAAWKAAAYGTCAATATACCCTAGGCAAGTTTTTTGGTTGATGCGAGTTCTGTAATAATACATGCTCAATTTGATATGACACATCTCTGGATAAAATAATCTGATTTCCTAATCATTCTTAACCTTCTTTTTCTCTYTCTCCATAGACTCACATCACTCAGAACAAAGAATTATTGATGTTGTTGGTAGTGAACCAAGACCATCTCGTCTTAGTGAAAGTAGCAGTAGTGGCTCTGGGTCAAGCAGTAGTTCTGGGTCATCGTCAACCTCTGGGTCATCAAGCTCTGAAAGCAGCTCTGATTCAGAATCAGGTAGTGAACTATGACCAGCAGTTAGAGCACCTAGCACATAAATATACTACGTTCTGGTGCTTCTATCCTACCACGAGTAGTGAAATGCTGGACATTTCATATTCTACTTGTCGCTGCACTTCAAATCAGATACCCTAACAAACTTGATCCAGCATGCTTTAAAATGTTATGCTCATTTTTGTGATTCCATATCGAGGAGCATTGATGAAACTGCTGCAATGAAATACAACTTATCAGTGGTGTATACTGCAAAGAAATTGCTTTTAAACTTAATCATAGGTTTATATATGTGTAAAGAAGGAATTGTATTCAGGTCAATTGTACCACAAAGCTCATTATTAGGGTATCTATAGATGGAAATGATTGCTTGTCTGTAGGTAAAGAATTATGAAGCGTTATCAGAATGTTAAGTTATAATGAATGGGGGCCTGGCAAAGAAGTAAACGTTTCCAGTAAATACAGTAGACCTTGAAGTTTAATCAAGTTTTGATCAAAATTATTTCTTGCCATAATCATCATTTCTCAGTTAGGGTAGTTTTAAATTTTTGTTGAAGAAAATACCAAAGTTTGCTGATTTTTGTGAGTTTACATTGTTATTTCAAAATATGTAAATGTTTCTGTCAATCTAACTTAACCATAATTTCCATGTGAWGGAGTAATGTTTTCACTTCATTAATATATGATATTATTGTTAATCTTAGAAATTTTGAAATAATTTTACTAATCTTGCAATGATCTAGTAGGCTAGTTTTGTATGTAGGTATTATTTGTATAAAGAATAATTTTGTATTTTACTAGAATATATATCCAGTTGTTTAGCAAAAGTGAGCATAAGATTTTGTAAGTACGAACAAAAGCTCAAAAAGAAAACATCGGAATACAAGCATTAACTCAATGAAATTGACTCCCAAAACTAATGAACAGCTCCAGAGACCTTGAATACATGTATGTACATTGTTAATTTGAAATCGTTGAGAAGTCTTTGAACTGCAGTGTTARATAGTTAACCAATTATTGCACAATAGTAAGTTGTGCATCGTTTGTAAGGTATAGTATTGTTCAAAACATGACATGTTTTCAAGTGGACATAGGATTGTAATTTATGATTTCTCTGTCTGGACGTTTTGAGTTCAGTTTCTTGCTGAATGCTGCCTATTTGAACTTGTTGTAATATCATTCCAAATTGTTTCAAAATAAAATATGTAAAGATGCTTGTCTGTTAAGATTTTTCTTGGCTCTATGTGTTTGACTGCGATTGAAAACCCCACTGTGGGGTAAAGATGTGTGTAGCGAGTGTGCGTGTGTGTGCGCATGAAACCACCCTTCTTGTCAGTTACTCTAGGTATCCTGTAGTGAAAGGGGTGTCGTCTAATTTGGTTTCCTTGTTTGGCAGAGTCTGGTGGTAAAGGCCACAAGACTAACCCCAGTACCAAGGTACAAGAACTACTCTTCTTTAATTCTGTTTTAAGAGTCTTTAGTTCAAAAACTATAGAAACTTATGACAGGTCACTGTAGAGTAATTACACAACCAATGAAACATAAATGTTTGAAACCTTTTGTTCTGTTATTGTTCAATATTGTGTAAAYTCAGCGATGTTGCTKTGTTTYCTTGGTTGTGTAGAATTACATATAACTCCATGTCTTGTCCTTTCCTCTTACCTTCAAAGAAACTTGCTTTGGGCTGGTCAAAGTGAACTATTGTTGGCTATCTTCAGTACATTTTATGAATTATCATGTCAGCTCAATTTTCACTATGGCCAGTCCCTGCTTGTGTACAGTTGCAAATAGCAAAAGAACATCCAGTAAATTCAGAYTTTTTCGTACAGAATGAAAAATTGATAATCAAGCAAGCTGCAATGAATGTTTTTGCTTGCTTCATACAACTCGAGTGTGTATTTGCATTAACCTTTTCAAGGAAATTGTTATAATTCATGAAAGAACAAACTTCTTTTGCCATTTGCAACATTTCTTTTTTTCTCCTCTCTTCCTGTTCTTTGTTCTTGTGTAATTTATACCTTTGATTGTTCTCACTTACTATGTTTGTAACACAGAGCAAAGTTGCTTCTTCTGGTCAGAATACAGCTAAGAACTTAACAAACGACACTCAAAATGGTATGTTTATTTGTTAATGGCTTTAAAGAGTTAGGATCAGACCAGGGTGTAATAATGAATGTATTCTTGAAAAAGACTTCTCAAMTTATTGTGATTAGGAGTCTCCTCAATTATAAAGTTTATTCATAATTTAAAGTATGTTATTTGTCTTTCTAGTTTCATCAAAAATTGAAAAAAATACAACTTCATCAGCACCTGTCACTGTCACCGCACCTGTCACACAATCTCATTCTCAAGCTTCGCACCAGATGACAGCRCATCATAAAACTAATGGAAAAGCAAAGCCAGCYGCTYCAGCRCCAAAGACKGACCCYGTACACAAAACTACTGCAGCGCCCATTCCTCCAGTGAATACACCCAAGCAGCAAGCTAAAACAAAGTCAACAACTAACAAGCCCACTCCAGTCTCTAAAACAACCACACCCAAGGTCACAAAGGCCACTACTGTACCCAAATCAGCAGCAACTCCCAAAACTACCACACCAGCAATACCAAAAACTACACCCTTGCCCAAGACAGCTCCAGCATTTAGTACTACTAAAGCCACTCCTTCGACAACACTTCAACAAGCCAAAACAACGGCTCATACAATCCCAACAACACCGGTTAGCAATGTTGTCTCAAGCTCTGGTAACATGTTAAAGGATAGTACTAAGAACTCTACGCCAGTCAACCCTCCAAAGACGGGTAAGTGTAGATATAAATCCATATCACCAAATCTGCATACAACATTTCTCTTATTTCTTTCATTAAAAATATGGTTGATTACATCTGGTTTTTTTTGCTGCTCTTTTGAGGGTTGAAGGAAATAACATTATTGTCTTTGTTTGTTGCCTTTCMTTAGGAGGAGCTGGTATAACATTTTCTATTGGTGAACTTCCGGGGTCTCTAGCATCTATAGGTTTGTTCTTAGAATTTTGTATAGTAGAGCCTCTTACAGGATTTTTTTTTTGAAGGACAGCTCTTTATATACTTGAAATTTTGACTGCCATTATCTCTTTCACTGTAAGAGTTTTACAGTTTTGATATTCTGGTTGACTTACCATCCACAAAAGTTAAAAAAAAGAACATCATAATATACACTTAGTCAACCAGAACATGGAATCTCAGGGACACCGTTTTTCCTCTAAGTCTTTTCACAATTTTCTATTTTAACATTTTGAATGTACTAACAGGACAAAAACCACTGGAAACAGGAGTGAAAAAGGTAAAGWACATGGAAAAAGAATTGTTGTATATGCAGCCCCCACCCCCTCCCCCTTGATAGCGCTTAAAATCCTCATGTCACCATTGAAAATAAAACTGTTCAGTTCACATGATGCCAAAACCTTCATATTATAATATTCTTATAGGAGATTCTTAACAAAACCATTCGTCACAAACCAGCTTGGTCAAGTCTTTCATCATCAGCTCCATCTCTACCAAGATCAGCGTCAAATAGTAGTTTTGAAAAATTCAAACAGCAGGCCAAGGACAAGAATGAAAGAGTACGTCTCACCACTAAAGTCTAACCAGTTAATAAATAATAAATAATTATTAATGATTTTTAAATAGGAAAGGGCACTTAAAGTACAAGAAGAGCAAAGACAGCAACGAAGAGAGCAAGCAGAGGCTGAAAGAGCTAGACAAGCAGAGGAAAGAAAGAGGTAATGTTGATTCTCACCACTAAAACTTTCTGTTTTATGACAGAAATTTCTCAAAATCATTTGCAATCATAAATAATTTACTAATGTTAACAGGGAGAGAGAAGAAGAAGAAATACTAGAAAGAGCAAGAATGCAGCACCAAGAAGAAAAAGCAAAACTAGAAGAAAAAAAGWTGATGGATAGAAACAGAGCACGCGAAGCTGAAAGACGTAAAAGAGAAGCTGTAAGTAACCTCAAAAGATTGTAAAAATGATTAGTTTGTGATCGTAATTTTTATATTTTCCATCTTGCAGATGGCTGGCACAATCAATATGAATGAACAGAGTGATATTATGGCTTCATTTGAGGCTGAAAATCTACTTTAAATCGATGAAGTTCACATAAATATTATACTTWAATGCAAGAATCAAAAAGGGGAGTCACATCCTTGGATCACAATTTGGATGACATGTTGATATTATTTTATATTTAAGATTGTAGCGTTAACTTTGTGATTGCATCAACGATTTAAAATAAGTAATTTTGTTTAGAATGATGCAATTYTTGTTCYTGTAAATGTGTTACGTGTTTTTCTTAATGACCACAGAAACCAATTTTTGTCAAAAATGTTACTCTGCRAACCAGAGACTTTTTGTTGAACGTTAGACAGYACAAATATCAGATATTTTTAAGCGCTATGTATAGAAAGAGATACAGAGGTAAATGAAACATTGTATAWTATTACTTGACTTATCTCTAACAAGGCTTCATTTCAATCTAGTAGCTCCATGATCAGCCATTTTTGTTAATAATTTAAACTCTGGGTATTATGACACCTTATTGAAATCTGGTGTAAATATGCCACCAAAGATGAATATCAATGTCATCAATGCTTTTATTAAATGAGGAGTAATCCTAACGACAAAAAATGTATAAAAATAGAAAAAAAATATTTAAAAAGAAATGAAAAAATGGATCAAAAACAACAAAATTGAAACATAAAAAAAAAACAATAATAAAGAACAAAAAGATTTTGAACAATAAAAAGAATACAGTTGAAACAGAAGCCCTCTTTGTGTTAATGTAGTTAAAAATCTGTTTCAAGTTCACAGAAATGAAACAGATTCCTGTCTTCCTGCATTTTCAATATATTTGAACCACTTTCCTAATCCAKTCAAAAGTATTCATGAATTGCAATATAAGTGATGAGCCGCGGTAGTTTTTAAGAAATGATTACACTTAACTAGTTCTTCATTTATCAAAGGTTTCATGGATGAATATGTAGTATTGTATGCTCACCTGTATTGTTAATAGACTGCCTTAAAAGGTGGCTGTGTTAATACAACGCTGTACTCTTTGATGTGAAAATAAACTAATGTTCAGGCTTAAGTTGTGGTGGAAACCCTAAACTCTCTAACAATCATTTACATAGTAAACAGTATTGTCATAGCCCCTCTTTCAAGCATTTTGCATTTTCAAAACCGCTGCAGGGTACGGAGTTATACAAATTTACCCTTTTTTGACCATCTGATAGGAAAATAGAACACACACAATTGAAAACATTACTTTGTAATGATTAATGATGCATTCTGATATTTACAAAATGGAATTTGGAAAGAATTACAACACAGATCCACTGATAAAACWATACAAATGGCACAAGCAAGCAACTTAATTAATACATGTTTTTACTACAGTCATTGCACTCAAACCATTAAAAAACACTTYCTAAAACAACCAAAATAAGTTGTGCCACTAGTTGTTCTATTCAATAGATTAATGAAACAACTCTACTGTTTAACATGTTGAGAAATTTGAAATGTTACATGAAATTAATTGTTTGACAAAAGTCAAGTAAGGGTCAAGAAAAAACTAAATGCCTAAAAACAAAAACATTGTGTACTAAAAGATAGTGTAGAATAATGTTATTGCTGATTTGCAATAGTATGCGTATGTCATGCTCTGCACATTGCTTGCAGTAGTAGAGTTGTTTTCTTATTATATATTATATAATAATTATACACTATTTACATTATTTTATCCATCCAATAAGGATACATTGATGCAGCAACAGCTTGTGCATGTGGTTATTATCAAAATATTTGTTATGTACACTATTACGTCCARCTTGGGATCAATCAATCACTAATTTCTTCAATTCCTTCGCTCTCTGTGACAAGAGCTCTTTCTAAGATGACTCTTCCCTCCTAGACAAACCAGTTTTATGTATCAGCTTCACTGCTTATACTGAAAAGCTATTGTGTATCTGTTCTCCAATCTTCTTGGTGGAGAAAAATGGAAAGAGGAGGAGTGGGAAAATGGGTAGGGGATAAGGGTGTGAAAAATGGCAAAGTAATTTTGCCAAGAGTGCTATAAATTATTATTTAACGTATTAATATYACCTTGTATCGCTGATTTTCTTCAGTTGCATATTCCTGTATAAGCAATCATAGTTCACTTACGTAAGTCATTTACATGTTAAAAAGTTGTAATACCTATCTAGCTGACACCCAATAAAGGTCGATCAGCATGACACAGAAACCCCACTCTATACACCTTAATCCAAAATGGCTGACTAGCCCTTGATGTCTCGTTTTCATGAAATTGTGTTTTTCTTTTAAAGTCACTCAAGCTCAAAGACAAAAGAATAATTTTATGAAAACGAGACATCAAGGGCTAGTCAGCCATTTTGGAATAAGGTGTATAAGTAACTTCCTACTCCAGAGATGAAATAGTGTTACTTACATACATCCAACCCAGCTTAGTATCACAGTTCTTACAGGAAACATCCCTGACCATATGTCGACCAGTTAGCTAGAATATTGAAAGAATAGTTAATCAAACAGCYACTCAATCAATTAACCAGTTGACAGTGCAGCTACAAGTTCTCTGCTTTGGGTGATAATGACTGCATTTGGTGATCACTTTTAGGGATGGCTTTTAGATTAGCAATATCAACAAGATTAACACCAGATAAAATGCTAATTAAGATTGGATATATTTAAGTCTATTGTAATAACGACATTTTCTCGTGCTCTCTTTTGTGTTTGTAAAGTCTTTGCGTAAGAGAATCTGTTGTCAAATAAWGCAGCGGTTATTCGCTATGAATTCGAAACTGGAGTATTCAACTTCWGTTCCATATTCAGGGATTTGTCTCTCTTATGGATGAAGAATCACCAAGAATGCAACACCCATCAGTACACAAAACAATCCCTATTAGTTTTTTTCAGAATTTCCAGTGCAGGCCCAGCACCCCCCATGATTGTGCCCCCCCCCCCTCCCCTCCCCGCTAAGACTTTATTAGTAATTTGTTTAAGATCTGTGGATTATTACCATAACTCTGTCCTGGACTTCACTTAGTGTCAAGTTTACTCTGAAAATCATAGATAGACATAAGAACAAGCACAGCTTTATCTTGAATATAGAAGTTGACTGGAATTAAATACTTACACTTTATGAAATAGAAATGCTCTTCCCGTTGAACCTGTAAACCGCTGTGAGTATAAAAGYAAGAAAATTAATTATTTTGTATTTATAAACACCAAGGAAGATGTAGCAAAATACTTTACGAAAATCAAATACCTTTGTCATCATGGTACATGTAGCTTATTCAAAAAGCAACACTTTGCTTTACAAATGAATAGCTATGCTATATACTGTAATAAATAAATGACTAACATATATACTTGTCAACTGTCATTCTAATGGTGATAATAACATTATTAGGGGCAGTAGGAGCATTCTTTCAAATCTAGTATTAAATCTTCATACCCTATGTCCATATTTAGACACAGCTGACAATCAAAATGATAACAGAAGAGATTTCATTTTCTATGCAAGCTGAAAAAAATTTATTGTTTTATTATTTTATTTTATTTTATTTTAGAGTCCATTTTGGCTGCATAGACATAACATATTTCAAGATATTTTTTCTCAAGTAAGTTAATAATATTGTTAATGTATGCAACTGGTTGATTTTTGAATATCTTAAATATGGAATTAGGTGAATATTTTAGTCTTAGATACAGGTGGYTTCTAACCAACATTACGAATAGCTGTTTCATCTTGTTATAACMAATAAATATTGAATTTTTAACAGCTTTTTGATTCTCACCATATTATTGCAGACGTGCCGAGAAAAATCCTCCTGATAGATTATCGCAAAATTTAAGTAAAACACTTTCTAGAGTTACAGTGAAGTTATCGCACTTATTTAGCTAAGTAATATAACATGGAATTGATTTACACTTGTAAAAATGAATTGATTTACAGATGCAGGTTTTTTTTTTTCTCGTATAAAGAAAAGCTTGCACCAAAAATKTCTTGGTTGCCATCGATTTTATAGACAAACACACGTACTCTTCTGTCGAGTATAACTTGTTCAATCGGAATTAGGAAAGTCTTTACAGACTTATAGCACAAGATAAACAACAACAAACAAGATAACACTTGAAGAGGAAAAATTTGCATAAGAAAAGAAGAAACATTGCAGTTAAGATTTCATAAAACGGAACGTGTTGGTCGTAGGCCTTGTACATTGTGGATTTTGGACCCGAAACTTCTCACCGGAAAATCATGACAACGAAAGATGGAGTATAAAGTTTACAGAAGCGATCGTCTATTATCAGTTCTGAATTACAAACTATACCAAATTGGTGTGTTTTGGTCGTCAAATAAACATACATGTTTAATATTTATTTTTTTCCCTACTGATGATGACCTACCATTGAAATAAGTTCAGAGCGATTCGTCAAAACTGTATCGCAATTGGCGCAGGAATACAATCTAGTTCCCCCMGGATGATCCAGGAATATCCTTCCCATAACTTTATATGAAGATAAACAATCAGAACAAGACTTTTTCCCACGAAAATCCACGTTATTTWGCTCGAAATGTAAACCTTGCTGTGGCCTTCTTTGTTTTGATCTGTGTTGTCACGTGATTTAGGGAAAAAAGTGAAAATACTCGAATATGATTGGTTGGATTTGATGGAGTATGGACGTCATAGSTGGTTCTGATTGGTTAACTTCACTGTCATATATTTGTTCAGCATGACGTCACGCGGGAAATTAGAAGTCTCTTTCGCGTTTTTTCGGGTTTTTTTTGTTTTGGCTGGATGTGAAACTAAGTTTCCCTACCATTATATGACATTATTTGACAAACTGAAAAGATCTTTTTATTTTTTTTGAAAACAAGAACAAAAAAAACCCCTAAAAATAAATTGTAGAAATCAGATTTAGAAAAGTTTAAGAGACGAAGAAATTTGAGAAATAAAAGAAAAAACGAAAATAGATRTTAGGAATAATGAAAGGAGAGAACTTATAAATAAGAATAGAATAAAATAATTGTACTAGAATGCATGAAGAAATAAACAAAAACATATTACACTGAAAAAATATAGAGAAACAAAAAAAAAATATTGCTAATAATAGCACAAAAATATAAAAAAATATATGAATAAAAAAAATATGAAATGCCATTTAGGAATGATAATGCCAGGTTTAAAGGCTTTCTGCAGGAATAAAAAYAGAAAATGACAGCTGATTCAACTTTAACTTTATTCTAAAATCAATCAACCATTGAATTTGTTTCTAAAAAAATGCTCCTTTGACCTCTTAGAGAGATACAAAATGAAGCTTGATATTCAAATATCAATGAAYAAAGTTCATTACGTGTGATTGGTTGACCAACACTGTGATCTRATTTTTGCTATTAAAAATAAATATTAAAATCTTATCTGATCCAAAATGCTGTGAATTTTCTTTACAATTGACTATGATTGCGATAACTTAGAAATAAYTGTGATTTATTGCAAACTAACTGAACCTCTCCCAAGTCAAACACCTCTTTCAATTCTTTGAGCTAGCTCCTAAATATAATTATCTAGACGAGTGATAATATCTTACATATATATGTTATAAGTGATTGATGTTAGAGAGGGTTGCTCAATTTGCTCTAATGCTTTTTAATTCATGTTCAAAATATTCCACAAGCCAGTCYCAGTTAAAAAAAACCTTGGATCACAAACTATGACTCACGGAAACACGATATAGAAATGAAAGAAAGTTATAGTGCTTAGAAGGAGGGAATTCCAGGAGAAAGACCCCAGCGAGGTCGGAAATTAATTTTTCCGAATTTATTCCTAAGGGTCTTTCTCCTGGAATTGCCTCCTTCTAAACACTATAACTTTCTTTCATTTCTATATCGTGTTTACTATAGTGCCATGCAGTCTTCATAGTCATGGAAACAGTCTACCTCTAATATGTTAATATGTAAACAATTTGCAAAGAAAGTGCTTTTACTTTGATTGTTTTGATGTGGCAACATATGGAATTAAATAYGATTGGACAAGTGAAAAAAGCAGAAAGTTTAACTTTGAAGTAAGCTACAATGCATTTTATGCCAAGTATATCTGATGACAAATTTACTGGCAATATYGAGCAATAACAATATTCTGAGCTTAACTCAATCTTATTGTTTTTCTTTGCAAACTGTCATGTTTAACATGTTCTAGAGCAGAGACATTTCTGTTGATCTGAAGTCTTAGCTAAAATTGAGACAGCATTGTGTTCCTATTTTGTAATGAAAAATTGACTTCATTTGCTTACTTCATTATGGACTTCAGCATGTTATTAAATAATTTAGCATTGCGTTTCTAAGCCAAAATTTAAAACATCAACATTGCATTGCAATGAAATAATTACAAGGCTTAAAATAAATATGAATTTCAAATCATCCATATGTGAAAAATGATAAGTGATAAAGGATTGGATAAAGTGTGTCTCTCAAATGAAAGATCCAGTCAAAGACATTTGATTAATGAAAACCTTTCTGGACAATATAATTAAATATCTACTTGATGCCTAACTTATGAATTCTACCTATCATATTGTGTTCAGGCTGCAGCTATCATGTAATTCAGGTGTTCATTATAAATCAAATGAATATAGCTCTTTTTTAGAAAAACTTCAGCCTCTTTCAGCAGCAGCTATAACCGTGTATCATAATAATTTGTTTCATCACTTTCTTCGAAACTGATAAGATTTTGTGGRACCTGTAAAAAAAGTCATAATTATTAATACTCTAATAATGACATAATACTATTGAGCAAACATCAGGTGGGTGCACTATCAGGGGAAGACATGAATAATATACTCGAAAACGGAATAAGAAATTAATTTTTCAAAATTTTGCAATAAACACATAATACGGTAATATTCAAATGAAATAATTTCAAGCTAAGTTTTAATATACATGTACCTTGTTTTTACCAGTTGCCTGTGACAAATATGTGTACCACATCAATGCTATTGACTTGGATCCTGCTCGAAACTTGTATGACGTTCCTGATAAAACAAAATAAAAAAAATAATAATCCATAAAATTTATGGATCATTTTTTATCACCTTGTGATAAATTTGACATCAATTCTACAGCAGTTGTTTTCATCTACATTGTGCACAGTATCCTAATCCATAAGCTAACAAGTTTGGTTCTGTTATCATTTGCAATATGATGTTTATATGTAAATTCTCCACCATTTTTTAATTGGATTTTTAAGCCACTTTTTTGAGATGCAAAACACTTCTCCCACCTGCTGATTCACCACACAGTTTACATAAACTTGGATGTGTAGGTGAATTAGGTAAGTRCAACTCAGCAGTGGTGAAAATTTTCCTGATTCCTTGACAATATAATATAGAGACTATATAAGAAGTTGTTGATTGTTGTTTCAATCCCCAAAATAWAGTCTCCTTCACGGTTCCCTGTGCTCTCTTGAAAGGTAGCTGTGCCTTTGCATTGAAGCGAGAAAACTGTTGAGTGTGCAATGATAGATACCTGTGAATAATTGTCTGAAGGTGTGAAAGAAGGTTTCTATCATTGCATGCTCAATGGTTGTCTTGCTTGGATGCAAAGGCACAGCTACCTTTCAAGATGGTGCAGGGAACCTTGAARAAGACTATTGTCCATGAAAGAGACTCACCATTTATATGATCTGATAATTGAAAGCAGTCTGTATGATGTGCATCTGATCTGATATGTACTATCCAATCAGTTATATTGACAATCTTTTGAGGTTTTCCTTTAAACTGGAGAAAAATATTTATTACCATAACTGTACGCCAGCATGCATTAATTAACTTCAATGACAGGAACAACAGGACTGCAAGCCAGTTGAACAAACCAGGAAGAAAAGTTTATAATAATTGTACTTCTAGTTAATTCTTTTATATGGTGACCGTCCAAATTTAAAATTCTGTTCAGTAAGTACAAAAATAAAACAGACTTTATATATAAAAATATCGTGAACAATAATTGCACAATGCTGTCATGGTAAAAAAGATGAACTACAGTATAAAAATGGTTTAACTTACAGAAGCCTTTTCTAACTTGCCAACRGTTCTGTGTTTYGGAAKGAAGTAGTATAAAAATGACCCATTTAAACCRACCCAAAATTTCTGCCAGGAAGACACCTGAAAATACAGAGAATTTTAGACTGTTTATAGTGCTAAAGAAATGACAGGCCAAGAAAGAAAGATGATGTCATCAGTGTATATTGACATTCTGTACTCACTGTTAATTTTTTGCTGTTTCTGAAGATCTTTTTCCTTCTCAGGAATCCTATAATGAAACCATAAATTAAGCTTTTAATTATCCTATTCAAACATTGACATCAAATGTCATGAAGCGTTACCTTCAATTATAAACTCAGAATGAGGATGACATAGTTYAGAATCATCACTTTCATAAACTCCACTGTAATGAAATTATAAACACACTTG